GTAGAAATGAAATATAATTGCATCGCTGATTTAACAGGCATGAACATGACTTTCTCGAGATATTCAATATCCAAAAAAAAAGAAACCAGAAGTTGACAATATGAGGACAAAATAATCGAGTTTACTTGGAAATTGAATATCTTGATAAGGACATGATCGTTTTCGTTGGAGGTTTCATCAATGTCCAATGACTATGAAAAATGTCTATAGACAATATTTCAGATTAAAATTTTATTGAAAAACTTTTCTCAAAAAATATAGAACGAAAATATTTGTTTTAAATTAGTAAAATGATCATAATATTGTATTACATTTATACATTTTGAAGTATTCTATTTTTAGATGATAGTTTTAATCTTCCTCTACAAAATTACATATTTCGATAAATCTTTTTCTATTATATCAGAATATATTCATTTATTGTTTAACATTTTCGAGTTGATCTTGTTTGTTATAATCTTCAATATTTTGTTCTTCAGCAAAATCTAATTCTATAAATAATCGTTTTTGATTAATCAGACAAATAAGGTAGAAGAAGTTGAGGTCCAAGTATTGAAGCATATGGATAGAATTGTTCAATAACATGTGTTTGATCTTTTTTTTTATTTCTTGTTGTGTATGAAAATCATTTACGTAGATTAATTAATCTTCATCAATAGATGTTTTCAATTTTGAAGAATCAATTTGAATTTTTTTTGTTTTCTGAGTTTTTCACTAAAATATTTATATAAAAAATAATTCTAAAAAGAAATAAGAAAAAATGATTCATTTTTATTTTACAGATAATCTTGCTTATGCTGTACACTGATGTTTGATTGTAATTCTTTAATTTCGAATAATTCCTTATATGCATCTAAATCAAAATCTTCATCTATTGCCGAATGAAATTTATTTTGATTTTGATCTTCTTTTTCTTGTTCTTGATCAATTATTTCTGAAACTCTTCGATCTGTTTCATTTGTTTGTGATAATAAATATCTTTTATACCATATATCACTTAAAAGTTTTAAATCACATAAAAGTTTCATATCATAATTATTAAAATCGACTAGAAATCGAAGTTTTTTTTTTTTACTAAATAAATTAATCCTATTTATTATATTTACATTCTAATTGTAATGCTTTGAGTGCATTGAATGTATTTATTGGATGTAAATGTATAGTTTTTAATTATTGTCATCTCTATCAATGATTCGTTTGAGACGATCAAGTTTCAGAACATGATTAAGTAATTGAGAAAGATCAGTTGCTGTTATACGTAAGTTTTTTTTAAAAATTATTTTGTACATGACTTTTTTTTTAGTAAAGCATTTTCTTGTGATTTATAAATTTTTATAAATTTGTTTACCTAAATAAGAGGTGATTATAAGACTTCTTCATTGAATTATTTCTTGATTTATGAATTTCACTCATAAACACTAGACAATTTACAGAGACTAGGTGCATATACTTTCTTCTGATAAGCCTGATACTTTTTCATTATTCTGTAAATATGCAACTACAGAGTTCATTCGACACATCTCACCAGCACCTACAAAACGGAACAAGAGTTTTTATAATATAGCCTTTTCAAACTCTTGAGTAGAATTAAATCAAAAGCCTGACTGTACAGGTTTGTAGATATTGATGCGATGCATCTAATGATAAGCTTTACTATCAATAGGAATTTCTCAAAGTTTGAACCAGAACAAACATATCTTGATTGCAATATGAGTTTTAGTATGATAATGTCATATTTCTGAAATACAGTTCAACATAGTCGTTCCTTTAAAATGTGAATAACTGAACCAGGAAGCGTTTACTCTGGCTCAAATATTGAAGAATTTCTAGTAATTATATGATATGTCTATCAAGAAAACATTAGCTTGAAATTTTGCTTATTCAGGTTCTCAGTGATCCTTTGCTCGTAGTTCAACCACTATCCAATGACGATAGTCTCAAACAATAGAAGTAGTTTGATTGTTGAATATGTGCTCGCGTGATATTTACTTGAGTTATACCGTATTATCTTTTGGCAATTACAAGATAAATGATATTTGATTAATATAACGCACTCATAATTAATAACTACTTAGGGGTATCCAAAAGTAGTGGCAACGACATTTTTTTACCATATTTTAGGGTTGATAAAAAATTCTTTTTACATAGGATGATAGAGCGGAAAATGCTCTATCTTTCTATGCTATT